AAAAGAGCTTTTTTTCATGTAGTTTCCTTTTGTGTTAATTAAAGGCTGTGTTAGGGGAAGAATGGCCTCTGTTAGAAAAGAAAATATGAATTTGGAGTTCGGAGCTTCCTCGCTAGATGGAATCTCAGAGGCAGAACTAGTCAAGAGGGTGTAGGGTAAAGAAGCTGTTTTGTAGCACAAGCTTAGTCTCATAGTTTGTTGGTTTCATAAAATTGCTAGCTGGTTCTCCCCGAAATGCGTTGAGGCTTTATAGGGATTGTGCTGCCTTGATCAGAAGTCAACACTGGAAGCTTCTGTAGATACTACTTCTCAAGCAAAAGTTGACACAATACACACTTCTTAACACTGTTAATAGACTTACCTTTTTTTTCCCCTTCTCCTTTTTACTATTCAAACTTGGCGTTTGAAGTTGTATGCTTTTAATATGCTGTTCTTTTCGGCCATTTTCTTTTCCCATCTTCTCGGCGTACACTTTATCAACATGGAACTCTGCGGTAAATTATGTAAGTGGAGATCAGTACCTCATGACGTAATCTTATTGGTAGCAATAAGATAATCTTTCCCTGTCTGTTGTGATTGGCTATCAAAACATAATGTAAATATGCAAACTAGTAGCCCTCATAACACCTGCATATACGAAACCATGCATGGATTTCTCAGTCGATTTTCATTTACTTCATAAATTCTAAATTTTTTCTTTCCTTTCCCCCTCTGTATATCCAGGTATTTTCTACTTCTGTCGGTAAACTCAATCAATAAAATTCCAGTATGGATGCTGAAGTCGACCATTATACTGTTCTGGGCTTGCTGTCTGGCGAGGAAGGTGCCAAGCTTACCGATCAAGAGATCAACAAAGCCTACCGATCCAAGGCCCGCGAGCTGCATCCCGACAAGAGGCGTGACGACCCTAATGCGCACGCCAATTTTCTTAAGCTCCAGACCTCATATGAAGTCCTCAAGGACGAAAAAGCCCGTAAATTGTTCGACGACCTACTCAGAGTGAAAAGGGAAAAGCTCATCCGTCAGGGGCAACAAGATTCCAAGCGCCAGAAGATGATGTCAGATCTCGAGGAAAGGGAGAGGTCTGCTTTCGCCGTGGACCCCACCGTGAGAGCTCGGGAGGAAGAGGAGATGATAGCCCGAAAGCTGAAGGATGAGATCAATAGAATTCGGGCAATGCACAAGAAGACTATGCTGAATGATGATGCAAAGCCTTCCGGGGGAGATTCGAGACCAAAGGGAAAAGAAGGAGGTGATGTTGGGGGTGTGGCGTTGGATAAGGAGAAGGTTCTTAAATTGTCGTGGGAGAAGGTTGGAAAAGAATACACGGCTCAGGGGCTTAGGGAGATTTTCGAGGAGTTTGGTGGCGTGGAAGATGTGGTCATCAAGAGCTCCAAGAAGAAAGGGTCGGCTCTTGTCGTAATGGCGTCCAAGGATGGTGCCGTAAGTTTGACCTAATTTGACTCTTTGTTTTTAATTATTATTATTTTTATTATTATTGTTATGATTTTTTTTTTTTTGGTTCTTTTTTCTCAACAGAAGTTTTGCTTGGTCAGGTTGCTGCTATTGGGAATGTGTTGGGTAACCTTTCGAATCCTCTTTTAGTTTTGGCTCTACAACCGGCCGCATCACCAGTCGTTTTTAGTGCGGAGAAAAATGAGGCCGATGGCCCAAAACTGAGCAATCTTGTTGGTGCTGGATATCAGGCACGCGAAGATTCGATTCTCGAGAAAATGAGAAAGGTATGGAAACTGATATATGTTACTACTGATGTTAACCGAGATTTGGTGTTTTTGAGTTTGTTAGTTTAGTTAATGCTGTTTGTGTCTGCGTATTAGTCTAGACAGTTCTCGTGAATCAAGTTATCTTTTTATTTTATTTTATTATTATTTTTTATTATTTTTTTTTTTTTTTTTTTTTT